TATCGGTTTCTATTAGGAGCAAATGCCAAAACCGATATTCGTTTAGTAAGCTACGGATTTTTTTTAGAGAGTACTTCGCAAGTACTTCAAGTACTTGTAGAATTTATTCAATAGTAGCACTTGCCAAGTACCTGATTTACTTGTCAAACTTTCCTCAGGTACTTGCAGATTATTTGGGCAAGTTCTTAGCCAAGTGCTTGTCAAGCAGATCAAGTAATTCAAGTACTTGATTTACTTGCGAAAAAAACCAAGAACGTTGGACAAAACTTGCGAGGGTACTTGGACCAGTACTTGTATGCAAATACATTCAGTAGGGAAGATTAAAAATTCGCGTCACATTGAAACATTCTGCACAATACTAGCCACTAGCTAAAAGAATCACATAAAAGTAAGCAGTAATATTTGCGAACATAATCAGATAATATTCATAATCAGCGTAAAAAATTGAGTCGAACTATGAGTCAAACTTTTTTCGAACCTTTTTTCTGGTCAAAATGTAAGACAAGGCTCCAGACTGATTCTTCAAATAAACAAATTTTTCTTGTTGTGCTCTTTCTAATGAAATGTTTTTCAAAAGAATCTGATCGGAGTACTTTCAGAGAAGACGCTCACATTATCATGAAACTTGGGAACAAGATGGAACCTTCATTGTTATGTTATTCAATAGAGCATTGATTTCTGTTCATTTTAGATCCAGAAATTGTGAGCTAGCCATATCCGTGTTCCATACGAGTTGGAACCGGATGATTGTGGGAGCTTTTTCACTCCCCATATGGGTCTACTAAATCAATTAGGTGAGATCATGGCGGCTTCTGGTCATGCATAAAGTGAGCCTCTTCTCTGAAAGTACTCTGATCAGATTCTTTTGAAAAACATTTCATTAGAAAGGGCACAAAAAGCTAAACAAAATCTACTATTTTGACATTACAATTTTTCATTTTTCACTCCCCCATATAGGTCTACTAAACCAATAAGGTGAGATCATGGCTGCTTCTCGTCATGCATAAAATGGTAAAGAACAAAAACTAGACTATTCATAGTAGGCAGAGTAACAACATTTAACACCGAGACATTATCAGAAATATAATAATTTGTAAATATCTTACCCAAATTGGCTTCTAAGAAATAACTTCCTTTTTGTCTTTGAAAATGAGTTAAATACCGTTGATCAGCTTCATGAATATGAAAATTTGCCGAACTACCCACACCATGTTGTTCCTCCGGGTTTAAACTATCTTCATAGACATCATGTTCGTCATTACTATCAACAGCAACATTTAATTTTTTATAATCTTGATGATCAGATCTATTAGCCATCATAAGGTAATTAGTCGATTAAAAAGTAGTCGTTCTCAATAAAAAGAAGAACAATGGAACATTTTTTAAAAAGTACTCTGAAATAGAAAAAGAAAATAGGCAAAAGTACAGTATGGACTAACCTAAAGTACCTCTCCGCTGGAATATCTAGACTAGAAAGTATTATAACAGCAGCTAGGAAATATACACAACTAATTTTTTATTAGATACATGAAAAGAATCAAATAGGTTTACTTTTGCAGAAAAACTGCAAAAGTAAACCCATTCTTTCTATTCTATATAGTAGACAACGAGTTGTGCAATTATATTGCACTAGTCACCAGTGACACACATAACCGTTCATGTGTATAACATTAACCTGTATACATACACGCTCAGGATAGCGAACTGACGCATTAATTATAGTAGAACGCAATTATACACCAACTCAATATCCAATTTAGATATTGTCGTTGTCTAGTTTATTGAAAAGAAAGCATGAGTTTACTTTTGCAGTTTTTCTGCAAAAGTAGACTTATTTGATTCTTTTCGTGTAACTAATCAAAAATTAGTGGTGTATATTTTCTACCTGCTGTTATAATACTTTGTAGTATTCTTTCAGGAGTAAATTCGGATTATTCATCCACGTAGACCCCTTTCTCCCTACATCATTTCTGTATTCTACCGTGTACTATACGTTGATACCATTTTTCGAAATTTGATAACAGTGAGATAGGTCGCAGCCTATCCACTTTCGGGTACACTCCATCCTTAGAGAGACAGATGAGCTTGCCATGTTTACTTGATTTTAGAACTGATCCTGATTGAGCAACCTTGTTGAATCCTACAGTTACAATTTTCAAATACTTTACCGGTTGTTGTTTTAAGATAAACGCAGATGTACCTTCATAATCGTATGATTTCCTTTTTTGTATCTTTAACCATGTTTCTTCCACCTCTTTCATAGGAATCTTTTCTAATGGAATATTAGGTGTATACGAAACGCTTTTATAGGCTTCAACCGCTTCTACATGCGCCGATATTCTTGGATCATGTACTAAGCGTTTTTCATAAAAGTTAGCTAGTGTGTCCGCAATTAGTTGATGACCTTTTAACACTCCTTTTTCTACTGTAAGTCCTCGGAACGGTGTTGAATATGGATGAAACGTGGGGCGAACGTACTTCCAGATATTACTCCCTTGAGAGATATAAGACAAAGTATTTTCAAACCGTTTTTGTTAATACACACACCTCATTAAAATAAATATTTTCCTAATATATCTAGTCATCGAGGTGCACCTGTTGACGTGTTTTTCTGTACTTTTTTCTCACTCTACTATATGTTTTTCAAGTTTGATAAGTTGTGGCGGCCACGGTGCACGATATTTTTTAACCGGAATGAACTCGCTAACCCTATTTGACAGTGAAGAAAGAAAAGATGTAAGAAGAGAAAAAAACGTACCTGGATCCATATTGTAAACGAGAGAATTAAAATATTTATATGTGAATTGTAAAAAATAAGTAAATAACCTTCAACTTGTTTTCTTGAAGAACCTTTTCTCTGAAGCAGAGAAGGGAGTTTGTATTAACGCGGGATAGTGACCGGATGAGCCCTAATCGATTACCTCTCTCCGCCGCCCTGATGACTCATAAGTGATGCCGAAGTCGATTATTGCTTCGGATCTTCTAGAGGTTGGCTTTTCCGATGCAATCAGTTCGCATCCCGTATTTTCTAACCAATCTTTCAATTGGACACCAGTCGCTTTGTTTTCCTTGCAGAGCCACTGAGTGTGCTTTGCACTGTAATCTCCGAAAATATAAAATGATTTGTTTGCAAATTTATTGAATAAGTCTGTCGGAAAATTTGTTCCTGGTGGTACATATATTGTACCTACGTGGATGGGTTCTGGTATTAGATCGATTTCGACAAAAATAAAATTTAAATCTTGACAAACTATTTTTGTTTTTAATGTGTTGTGAACTAATATAGCCACACCTCCAAACGAGTTGGTTCCTGCCTGGCTGTTTCAATAGTACCCCTTTAGCTTGGGTAAATTTTTGATTTTAGCACCCACACCCGTCAGAATGCATATACGAGGCGTAAAAGTAGACATTAAGATATCAAGGTCTACAATATGAGTACTTAAACATTGACAATTATAAAGAATAAGAAAGAGATTATCACTATCCCAAACAGGTCTCTCCTTATGCCACTTCTTAGAAATATCAAAAAGAGAGATTTTACTATTCCATTCATCGCATATATCTGACAGCATTTTCTTCTCTCCACTTGTGACTTCGAAAAACTCTAAAACCGCAGTTTTATCTGCATTCGGCGAAGAAAAGTAAAAACTATTATTACTCATTCAAAGACTGACCTAAAGACTTCATACCCTGCAACAGTAAACCATTTTGTTTCATCATTATGCTTGTAGCTTTTGATGGAGATCGGTTAACAGCTGAAGGCGATCATTTAGTGCGTTAATGGTAAGATTTGTAGTAATTAACATTAGATCATTCCGTTGTCTTTCATTAACATCGATTACGTTACAATTAACTTTTTCGAGTACTTGGTTAACAATTTGAATCGATTGAATTATCGATGGTTTTATTTCACAAACGGCCGTATACACATCTATCACTGCCTCCGCCTGTATCTTGATTTGCACATTGAGTAAATGCTATTCTTGGGCAATTCGGTTCATTTGATTGTCACAACTCTCTTTAATTTTTAGCAATTTAATTTCATATTTACTTTTGATTTTATCAGACTCATCCTGTAATTTTTAAGTTCGATACTAAATGTTGAAATTAAATTTGAATCTGTTTGTAGCGAGGGAGCATTTGAAATCAGCTATGGCCACGTATTCATATCTTCTACATACACCACATCTTCTACATGTTTCTATTATACAACCACAATTCTTTCACATATGTCCTGGACTGTTACATTTGTTACATATGAGGAGTTTTGGAGTTGGAAGGAATTCGTCAAGATCGTAGAGTTGACCAGTTATCAAAATTTTACCACAATTTAAGATGGTTTCGTACTCGTCCTTAGACAATAAATCGATCCGAATGTGTCGTGACCGATAACTCTGAGTGCCCAACGTTTCTTCGATTGCGTAAACAGTTTTCCATTTTTCTTCAATATCCATTTTCACATCATCATATGACAGGTTATTATCAATATATTTAAGAATAACAGCGTGTTGTACGGGTAATTTTGAAGGCAAGATCGATATCAATTTGATATTGTTCAACTCCGTGGGATAATGTGTATAGTCACAAAAGTAAATAAAAATTTCAATAGAGTTTGTAAAACATAATAGAACACCATTCTGATCAATAACCTAACGGATATTGAAACCGGGTATTTAACTTTCTAAAATCATTATCAATTTTTATGAATATGTTTTTCACCAAGCTGGTACCTTGTTGCTAATTCAACAATTTGGGAACACACTCAATCTTTATTGAGGGCAAACGATCTCCCACTGCATATTTTAACGCTCGAGGGGACACGAAAATTTGATCTGATTGCTTGGATTGCTCATTTAAACTTATTTGTCGACCATTGTTGTCAAAGTTTTGATTAGAGTTGAAGTTACTATAAGAATTACTTTAAGTTCTACTTGGATAAGTTTGACTTGCTCCACTATGTTGTAGTAGTCGCTTCGCCTTTTCCCCGATGATCTGTTGCATATTTGGAACATTTTCAAATTCTTCGTTATCTAGTTGTCGTGATCGTTTCGATGTTCCAAACTGCGGTTCAGTTCGAGAATTTGATGTTTGATCTGAACAACCTGTAGTAACTTCATCACGTTCTCGTGTGTTCATACTATTGTACCTTGCATATTCCATTTGTTGTGCATAAGTCATAATTACTTCGTCGAATTAGGTAAATTCAAATAAAACGTTATATATGTATTTAAGTACAAGAAGGTCACAAAGAAACACGTGTACATATAGAAACGGAAGAACAAGAAGATACGTCCGATATCTACTGTGTTAAAAATGATATGAGGGATCGGATCTTCTGTATAAGAATCTTATTGGATTTTTATATGAACCAGTACCGTTCATTAGTGCATTCACTCGGTCCCTTGGCTGTTACAGTTTGTCTAGTAAGTCTAAAATATTACTGCTAAAGGCTACAAGTCATGCATACTTTCCAAGGTCAAATGATATACCAACAGAGTTAAAAAAAACTTTAAAAGAAGGCTTGCACTAAACCCAAACTTAGTTTTGGACTTTGGGTTTAGGAAGTTTTCATATGGTCAAAAAATTTATTTTCAATCCACAAAAACTTGTTTTTTACACAAAAGTTTTGCTAGGCATGGTCGAGACGATAGATGGAAGACATACAGGTTCCTCTATCACTAACAAACCTCCACCTGACCTATAGGCAATTCCATGATTTTCTAAGAATATTATGAAAGGACGGGACGATTATCTGATGAAATCGGCTCATACCTGAATTTCATCGACTAATCAAAAGCTAGATATAGAATGAAGAGAGAAATATTTCTAGGTACTTCGTGTATAGTAGACCTTAGAACCACTTTCAGAAAAAAATTGGTCGAATTAAATTTGATTTTTCATCTGATATATATTATAGATGGTATTTTTGGATCTTTCTCTCTCAGTTTCACAGTTACTCACGACTATTATATATCATTCGAAAGCACTTCTTCTTCGCTATATTTCTGTATATCACATATACGGAAATAGTCGTCCTGAAGCCAAGTGTGTTTAGAAATACTTCTGGCTGTGGAAAATGATCTATGTGCAAAAAGTCTCACATATCCTATGACAGCATTTCTCATCCGGCCACTACAATAATATACCATTCGATAGAGAATTTATCGAGCTACAATTTGATATATATAATAACGAGGAAAAAGTGTCCTAGAGTACCTTAACATTAGAAATGTTTCTGCAAAACCAGAATTCTGTTCGTAATTCTCACTTTCTCCATCAGAACTCAGCTTTTATGCAATAAAAATATCTTATTCGGAATCAGGATCAAACACTGAGTCGATTAATGTGTATTTTCATCCTATCCGACTACTTTAGTTTTTGTCGAGTTTTCACGTTGAAATATTACCCGGAGTTTCAATAAAAATTGAAAATCAAGTAAAACTTTCGAAATACACATTTATCGACTCAATGTTTGATCCTGATTCTGAATAAAATATTTTTATTGTATAAAAGTTGAGTTCTGATGGAGAAAGTGAGAATTACGAACAGAATTCTAGCTTTGCAGAAACATTTCTAATGTTAAGGTACCTTACTTTCATCAGATAATCGCCCCTGTCCTTTCTAAACTATGTAGCCTAACCTAAGCTAGGAATAATCACTAAGTCTCAGCCTTAACTTTCATTTCCTTTTAAAGATATGACAATTTTTTCGACAATTCCATCCACTAAATTTTCAAGTAAGAACGGAAAGCTAAACACTCCTGTGATATATCATTTTAAGGTTTTTCTAATTCTTTACAAAATACTTTATTTGGTTGCCGTTTAAGGTAAAAGACAGTGCAAAACCCGGTAGCCATACCGTATCTCCTGGAAACAGAACATTATGCCTTTAGCGTGCAAGAAAAGAACGCGAAATGACATTTGGTAACATATGCGAATGTAAAACCGAACAAACAGTATCTAAAACAAAGAAAAAGCAGATAGATATAGCTGTGGATGAATCTTCGTCTTCTTTCTCCTTTTTGTGTCGGTTTTCACATCTGTGACTCATACTTACATTTATGACACATAGTTACGCGTTCCTTTCAAGCTGAAGGACTTATTAAAAATGATATAGCAATCATCCACAAATTACATAAGGGACTTTATGGGGAAGGGAACGGTCATTAAAAGATTACCCTACGCTTGGGAAAGTCGAGCTGCAGCTTTCCCGCCAATGGCTATACAAAGAATCCGAAGCCCACGAACTATAAAGACTGAAATGAGTTGGCCGACTGCGACCACTCGGTTTTGCTTTTTCAACGTCAAGTCAGTATTTTTGCAAGCTCTTATATCCATTCCATTGCGCAGCTCCTGGTCGTTTGATCCTCGACCTCGACGCATGAAGGGAGATATTAAGTAATCATACGAAGAAGAAAAGTGTCTGAGCGCAGAAAAAACTGATTTTTCTCTTGCTAAATAGTCTGATTTGTTTTTGATTCAACCTGGGAAACGAAAAAAATTTTTAAATAGTTACCTAATCAAAGGTTTGCCGACCATTACGTATAGGGATGGGGTTCGAACCTTTGACAGAATCGAACTCGAACTTTCAAACTTTTACCTGTACATTTAGCTGATTCGAACTTCGAACCTAAGTTCGACACATCCCTAACTACGTAGGATTATTTTAGGATGGTAGAAGTAGAAAAATGTAAACAGTTGATTACGTAATATGCTATGATCCATTGATTGTAAAAATATGAAAGATAAACCTTTTTAAAAGAACAAGTGTTGACGTTACAAAAACGAAGAATCATACCGAACATGCGTAAAATTTTGTTTACTGTAATTGACAAACCATATAGTTAATGTGTATTCAAAGGTACAATCATGATTAACAACACTCATAAAATAAATGAATCACTCAAAAAAGAAATGATTGTATATTCTCTTTTTTCAACTCTATTCTTTCTGTGTCTTCCTTATACGTATATGTTGTGGTCAAACTTGAAATTCGGTCAAATTTAAAATTTGCCCGGGCAGAACTAAAATTTAAACTTTGACCGGTCAAACTTAAAATTTTAGTTTTTAACCAGAAGAAAATTTTTGGGCAAACTTAAAATCCGGTCCAATTTAAAATTTAGCCAGTCAAACTTGAAATTGAAGTATCTTCTTTTCATATTACAAGAACGTAGATGAGACTCGCAAAATTTTTTTAATTACCAATGCCAGCTCGCTGCTATGGATGCGTCATTCAATTCGTTCCTTAGGGCGAGGTTCCAAAGACTTTAGATTCGGGCATGACCGATAGAGAACCGGTACTAAAAATGTGATTTTTCATGATGAAACCATGCTCTTAGTTTCTACTGCCTCAGCAGATGAGATATATAACTATGTACAGTTTGGTTGATAATATCTCATTTGCTGAGACAGAATACTTATCCACTTCACCACGTAAAGGTGGTTGGTTGTCTTGGTGCTATTTTATACCCCATGTCATTCTATAAATCGATCAAGGAGTACCAACAAAAGCATTATTAACTACTTGTTCATTATCTCTTTTTTTTGTTCGATCTAGAAAGTAATAGTTGTGTATAGTCTTTCTTCTTTTTTTCACTTAACTATATAAAGAAATAAGAATACTATACAAGAAGGAACGAGAAATTAGAATTTATCAGTCGCTTCATGCATGTACAAAACATGATCTGCAGAATCGAACACAACTTTTTGAATACTCGTACCTAATCGAGACTCCCGGTCAAACCCCTGCGGGACGCCCGTCACGGGGTCTCGTTGAGAGTCCCGCAGGATTTATGATAAACTCATTTCTGCATTTTGAGATCTCTTCGGACTCTAGCAAATCTATCCTCAAAAAGTTATGATTAAAACGCCACTCGCTATATTTCGATTTATTTTTTGGACAAGTGGATCTCGCCGTTTTAATCATAACTTTTTGAGGTTACATTTTCTAGAGTCCGAAGGGATCTCAAAATGCAGAAAAAAGTTGAATATTTAATTTAAGACGTTTCCGAGCTGTCTGTGATTCCACTATGTTTTACTCGGACTTTTTTCTTCGAGAACATAGTGCAATCAAATTTTAATGCGTTCGTCGAGCAGAGAATGCTTTTGTCATATTATAATCTCTACCTGAAAAGGAAAAATCAGTATGAATAGAGAGGCAGGTAGTAAATTCAGAGGATGTACACAGCAAATTCAGTTCTCTGTTCCCTTATCTAAATAGGACTCATTTTCCCTAGTCACAAAGTTACACTATTGGATTTTTGGACAAGTTTTCTTTTGAGACACATCTCTTTCACAGATTAACTAAGTCCGTACATGTCACAAAGAAGATAATATAATATGTCATTCGATGGTTAGACTAAGTGCTTAAACAGACCAGCTGGGGTACCCAATTACTGAAAAAGCTCTATTAAGGTATCGTACACATTTCAACCACCATTTTCTTTGCATGATGTATTATATAAACACCATTTATTCTTGGGAAATGATAAGATCCTTTTCACTGGCACCAGAGCTGGTCAGGTCACGGGTTTTCCAAGTCACAAGTCAAATCAAGTCATCAAAAATTTTCTCAAGTCAAGTCATAAGTCATGACTTGGAATTTTTATTTTCCGTAGAAAAGTGTCCACAGCGAAGCTGGGCAGGTTACAAGTTTTCTACGAGCTTCGGCATTTTGTTTAGATACGATGTTTGTTTTTCGTATTTCCAAAAAAGATGTATTTCAAAAGATAATCATAAAAAAAGACAATGCTCTAATGAGTCTAACAT